GATATGAGAAAAAAGGAGATGATGATCGCATGGCTAATAATGAACTAAGCGAGTTTTATCAGAAATTATTAGGTCATATCGTTAAAGAAGTAGAATTAAGTTAATGTCAGTTCCCTTATCTAAGAATAAGACAATTATAAATAATCGTTTATTTCAACCTAATCAAGTAATTTGCTTTCAAACTAACTATTTTAAGAATCGGCATAACCTTACGGGTTATCGCTATTATTTGTTAAAAGAAATAGATAAAAAGAATAATCTACTCGTCTTTTTTACCATTACTTCTAACCGCACTCGGGAATGTGTTCTTTACAGTCAGTATAAAGTTAAGCAAAGACCTTCCTGTTTGAACAGCAAGAAATATTCAGAGAGTTTTATTAATACCAATTACTTATATAAAGGTTCCCGCGAGAGTGACTGAATTTTTGGAAAGGAATTGTCAAAAACTTCATCCGACTTGCTTGGTTAAGGAGGAATTTCGCGAAATTATTGATTTGCATAAATTTGTGGTGGAATTTCAAGCTATCCTAAGAGTGGATGTCGAAACAATTAACTTGACCGAAAAGAATTTTATTTTTGAATAACTAAGACCAATTATTTAAAAATTAAGTTTTTTTACTTCTTAAAACCTTCTATTACTACACCACTTTTTTGCCCCCCCGCCCTTCACCCCAGCACCCTTTTGCCCCAGAATTCCCAATTCCCCTTTAGAACTACTCGACAAAACGTAATTAAGATGAACCCCAACCAAAGTGGATTGATTGTCAATTATCCCACTAAACCAAAAATTAAAAAAACCCAACCCCAACCCATTATTATTCTCAATGAAAGCCAACCATTACACTCAGCAAGACATTAAATTAGCCTATCAGTTAGTCCAAGAAGATTTAATTAATTCTTTATTAGCCATTAAAGATGGTCAAAGTATTAAATTAGGTCGTTTAGGTAAATTCACCAAAAAAGAACGTAAACAAAAATGTGGTTGAGATGGTCAAAATTATGTTTACTGCCGCTTAAACTTTAAACCGTTTACTAAGTTAAAAACTGCTTTAAATGAGCAGATAGTTAAAAAATATCGTTTAAAAGCCAAATAAGATGCCCAAGTGGAATAAGCGCTACTTATTACTGATTATGGCAGCTCTCTGCTTAGCTCTTTACTTTTTCGGTTCTGGACAAAATCTCCCCGATACTAAATTCCTGCGACCACTCGGCTACTGTTGCTTAGGTTTGAGCGGAATGCTACAACTAATGACTAACCAATAAATATGAATAATCTCACTCACTACTGAAAAAAAGAATATTTACTAATAGTAGTAGCTGTGCTTTGTTTAGTGGCTTACTATTACCGTCAGCAACTAAATGCTAATAAATTTACCGAATACTTACCTATTTTGGGCGGTCTGGCCTTTGGCTTAAATACCTTAGTGCAAATTGCTAAATAATTAATCACTCATGCCCCTATTTGAAGAAACCAACCAACCCAATAATCAAAATCAGTCAACTCAGTCGTCGGCTAATAATCAAAATCAACAGTCTACTGAAGCTAAGCAACGAACTAATCAGTCGGAAACTAAATCCAGTCTCCTGACCATTATCGGTCAATTACTCCCGTTAGCCCCCTTGGCTTTTGAACAGTTTACCGGACAAAAAGTACCCGCTATGACTGGCACCATGGCCGAAATGCAAAGTGCTTTAATTCAGATTCAAACCAACCTGCAAGCCATTGTTCAGAATCAACAAACTCTCAGTCAACGACTAATCGCCTTAGAACAAAATGCCACTAACCAGCTAACTAACTTAACCAACCAATTTAAATCACTGCGCCTAACCCACACTAAAGAGCAGAAACAGATTGAGTATAATCCCAATAAATTAACCGACCAAGAAAGTTATTAAAATTATGTCCTTCCTCCCCGACTTAACCCCTTTAATCCAGCAAATCAAAGAATTTAATCAGAATCAACTGAAAACTAATCAGTTACTAACTGAAATTTTAGAAATAATTAAAAAAAAATAAACATGCCTAATATTGAAAATTTAGCAAGAAAACCCTTTACTAAAGATAATCGCAATCCACTCCTAACTGCTCGCCGGGAAGAAATCCTCTACCGGGAAGATATCAAAACCTCGTTTGGCTATGCCATTGCTGGTCTGACTATCTCACTGGCAATAGCGGGTGGCGTCTATGTCATTGGTAAACAATTACTCAAATAATATGAACAACGAAAATCAAAGCACTTGAAAATCTTACGTCGACTGATGACCAACTTATTTGGTCTTAGGAATAAGTTTAGCTTACTTTGTCGACCAAACTGGGATTGTCCAAAAATTATCCAGCAAACTATTTACTAAAAAGGAGGAGTAAACTACTCCCTCTTAATTAACCTACCCTTATGAACCTTGACTTCACCCTTAATCTCCACGACTTAGAAACTTTACTGACCAAAAGCAATTGCTCCTGTCATTTTATCAACCCCCACAAAACCCGAATCCTGATGTGAAGAGAAGTCAAAACTGACCAGACTACTTATCATTTAAGAATTGGCATCCAAAAGTTTAGTTCGCAAGAACAAATTGACCGTAATGGCGAAATTTACTGACGATTTGGCAATTCGGAAAAGATAAAAGAAGTAAATCAGGAAAGTGCTGAATTAGATCCGATTACTAAATTTCACCAGCGACAAGCCCAAGCCCAAAATGGAAAAGCAACCAATGCTGAGCCAGCAGTTAATAACTCCCAATCTAGTTAACACCGTCCAACAATTAAGCACTAGTTTAGCAGCCGTGCAACCAATTAATTTAGCTAATTCGGAAACTACCCAATTAATCACTTACACACTAATTGCAACAGCCGTAGTGGGTATTTTTGTTTATCACTATATTAAAAATCAAGAGGATTTATAACACTTATGGGACTAAAAGACTGACTACCCAACTTCCAAACTGCGTTAAATAACTTCTATGATGAACGCTTAAAGAATGCTCTGGAAAGCAAAAGCACCGAATATAAAACCCTTTTTCAAGAACATCTAACTCATTGAAAGAAAACCCAACAAGCTCTAATTGCGATTGCTTTAGGAATCTTTTTTTTACTGCTGATTGCTGCTTTTTGAAAATAACTAACCCACCCTTTTACCTTAATCTCACCTAATTATCAACTATCAAAATCACTATCTAAAAATATGAATCACGAATTAAACATGAGTTATCGCTTCAAGTATTTAGCCATTGGCATTGTCACTTATGTGGTGGCCACTTATGCTTGAAAGTTATACCAAAAAGAAAACTAAAAAATCATGCTGCAAAAAATCCAAGAACACAAATGAACTATTCTCGCGGTAGTCTTAGTAATAGTAGCCATTTACTACTTTTACCAAAAAAAACAAACTAATTACTAGTCCATGACCAAAAGAAAAACCAAAGAATGCATTGGTTGTGGGGATAACTTCTTAACTTTTAAGAATTATGATTACTGCACTGATTGTGCCATTAACAATAATCGCTATCTCACCCCCAGTAACTGTTCCGAATGTGATGGTTCGGGAATAATTAAATTCCGTAATCAGAAACCCCGACCCTGTAAACTTTGCCATTTAACTAAACAATCTATGACCAAGAAAATAAAGCCAAAACTGGCTAAATTAACTGTGGAAGAACAATCAGAAAACCAATTTTGAACCCAAGTAGAAATCCGCAGCAAAGAACTAATTGCTACTCTGTTGGAAAAAACCTTACCTATCGCAGCTACTCCGCAGAACTTCGACTTAGAAAAAGATGTTGATTACCGAGTCTTACTAAGAGATGGCATCCCCCGTTATTACCAAGAACAAGAAGAATACTGAAGCAAAATAACTAACCACACTTGAACGGCAGCGGATGTTGAATATATCGCTCAAGATGTAGCCTGTGCTTACTTTGATTTAGTAATAACCGCTTTAGCTTCTTATTTAAGTAATTATCCCAGCTTTGCTACTACTAACTTGGCCACTTTTTATCAGCCCGAAAATTAAAACTCATGCCCCAAATATTAAAATCCCAACTAAAAAAGTCCAAATCAAATCAAAAAAAAATAACTAAATCCCCAGCAATTGC